GACGACCTGGGAGACCTGAACCCTGGAACAGGGAAGAAGGGAAACTGGGTCAACCCAAAGCACGTCCCCAGCTACCAAGGCCGTGGGGCGCAGGTAACAACGAAGAGCCGCAATCGGACACAACACATGATGCACCCCCTGGCCGAACCAACTAAGCATCAACAACCCAAAGACCCCTCCGGAAAGCAGCAATCTCATTCTTCGGCAGAAAAGAGGGAGACAGCAGCAAATGAACAAACCTACCACCAGGACCAAAAGAGCAGAAACCTCTGCACCGAAGAAGAGCATGAAGCCGACCCCCAGAGGCCAATGCCAACAGGAAAAGAGCCTTCACAAAACAATCTTGAACTGAAGGGGGCCACAACAAACTGAGCTAAAGAGAGAAAAGAAAGCACCCGGTCTAATGAGCAGGCTGAAGGTGAAGCAACGCACAAGACAGCTTGCGGAATGGAGCAGAAGTAACATCCACCCTTAACGCAAGCTGAAGTTGCTCCGCTAGTGCCGCACGATACGTGGCAACAGTATTTGGTATAAAATAACGGTCCTGAAATAACCAATCCAGGAAGGATAAGACAACGCAATCCAAAACAGAAGAGAACCTATGAAGGGACAAGAAATAAAGAAAGGGCCGCCAAGAAACATCATACTGCCGGCGAGACGAGAACACCTTCGATGTAGGTGGAACACCTTCAACAATGTCATCTACTCACTATACAAATGTTGACAGAACTGCTTCACAAACACCAGACGCGAAGAACTGAGAAGATCAAACCAGCTACGTACCGGACTGGTCCGATCTGTTGAAAGAGGAGGAGCTGCGAGAAGACCCTGGGTTCAGACACCGAGCAAGCAGCGCCTGAAATCAAGGCTGGGCCGGCCACCAAGTTGCCAACAGGACTACTCTTCCTTGGTAAGTCTCCAAGTTAGCCAGGATTTGCAGCAACAGTGGAACCAGGGGAAAAAGAGTTACAACTAACTCCACCTTGACCAGTCCTGCCAGAAGGCATCGACCCCAACAGCCTTGCAATTGGGGAAGGGCGCCACATACAGTATATCGGAAGACGCCTCGACCACACGAAGAGGTCCACCTCCGAGAGCCTATACGTCTGACAGATCCAACTGAACGAGTTGGCGTCGACCATCCAATCCATGGACAGGGAAATGAACCATGACAGGCCATCTGCTAGGACATTGGACAACCCCCCCCCCCCCCCTGAATATGAATGGCCAATAGAGCCAAACCCCGAGAATTCAGCAGACGAGTCACTCGAAGTAACCAGCTGCAAAGAGCCAAGGACCGCATCAAACCCCCACGGTTCAGGCAATGAACCACTAGGGAGTGATCTGAATGGAGCCAGATTATCGATCTGCGAGTGACCCAAATCCTGCGGAGTGACATCCACATGGCCGCGAACTCCCGCACCGTACTGTGTGCCTGACGGAAGGACGGACCCCACTGCCCATGGCTGGCCTGGTGAGCACTGGTCACAAAGCCCCAGCCAAGAGATGACGCGTCTGTGAACACATCAATCGAGGGCTCGGGTAGGCGCCAAGGCACTGAACCCTGAAAAACCAGAGAAGGAAGTCGGCGATGCAACAGAGGATGTAAGGCACCTGGAAGCCGAACCCAGTAATCATCAGAGAGGCGGAAGGGACATCCCCGAAGGAACCAGAACAGCCAACGAAGCCAAGCTCAGCCCGGCAGGTATACCAACATGGCAAAGTTCTGACTCTTGCACAAACCCTTGAGCAACCTCCTCGTGACCTGAGAGCCCTCCAAAAACAGCTGAAGGCGGGACTGCAGTCGCAGCAGAGCCTCTGGGGGGAAAGACAAGGAAGCGGTCTGAGAGTCCCACACAAGACCCAGCCAAGACCATACCTAAGAGGGAACCAGATGGGACTTCCTCCAGTACACCAGGAACTCAAACCCGGGGAGCTGGGAAAGACCCAAATCCCTGGCGAGCAGACATGTGGACTGGCTGGGAGCCCAAACCAGCCAGTCGTCAAGGTAGGCCAGAACCCGAACCCCCATAACATTGTGCTGATGGGTCACCACAACCCGGGTAATTTATGTGAACATGCGAGGTGCCAGATTCAGGCCAAACGGAAGGCAACGATAGCGGAAAGCCTGGCTCCCCACCACAAAACCTAACTAGTCCCTGAACCTTGGATGAATTGGGACATGCCAATACATATCTCAGAGGTCCAGAGGCACCATCCAAGCACCCAGCTCCAACTGAAGCCGGACCTGGGACAGAGGAAGTTATCCGAAAGAAGGGGACAAAAAATCTAAGGGTTTAAATCGGACAAGTCCAGAGTGAACTGCAGATCCACACAGTCCCGTTTTGAGACAAGAAACAGGCGGGAAACCCACCTGAGGGACATGGATGTTTCGACCACGCCCAAGCGTACCCACTCCAAAATGACCCGAGTGCAGGGTAAGAGGCCTTCCCCGTCAGCCCCGAACCTTCCAGAGGAGGAGAAGCCATCTAACACCACCGCAGGCCGGAAGAGACAACCCGAAATGCCTACGAATCGTGGAATCAGGCATGAGCAAACAGTGAGAGCCTCCCCCTCATTGCCCTGTCAACAGGGCGATCCGTGTATGTGCAGACGCCCCTTACAAAAAGCTGACAGGCAAGCAGAGTAATCACTGCGCTGACCTGACATCGCTGGCTGCAATGGAAGTGCTGGCTCACAAACTGGTCCCACTGGCATACCACAACTGGAGAAACCCTGAGCTCTGGCACGACCCTTCCAAGAAGAGCCACCACGGCAAGCGAGAAGCAAAAAACAGACACCGCCACCTTGAGAATTGGCACAAACAACTTCAACATGACAGCCAACACCTGAGCTGCAGAGGCAAGCTCACTGGACAAAGACCCAGCACCTAGCACCTCCACATTCTCCTCAAGCCAAGCCGAAGACAGCTTGAGAAGGGGAAAAAAAATGCAAGACCGAGGCAAAGTGCCCATAGGCGTGCAAATCCTCAACAATCAAGACAGCCAAAAGGGAAGGAACCTGCACAATGAAAAGAAAGTACAGTCCACCAGTCAGGAAGACTGGTACCTCGAAACTTACCCAAAAGGGAAAAGTCGACCCAAAGTCAAAAGAAGACGGATACATCACTAAGGTGTAATCCGGGTTTCACAGGAGGTATGCAGCGATGGCCTCCCGAACCTCCCTAGGCGGGATTCGAGAATCTGAACACCTCCGGAAGGAACTGAAGAACCCAAGGGAACCCGGAACTGAACCCAGGGAGGAGCCGATGACAAATCATACTCATACAGGAAGGGAGGGGGGGATAAGAAAACCCCCTCCCCCTGCAATAACAAGTCCTGCGAAGAGAATACCAATAGGTATCCAGCAGGCAGGGTCAAACAGGGCCCAAGCCCCCCGGGATCCTCCATGTCAGGACCCTGGGCAGAGCCGGCCTCCACACCCTCAGCCCTCTTAGAAAAAGCTGAGTCCAGGAGAAAAGAAGAAAAAAGAAGTGGGTCTGCTGGTACGACCCAGAAGCTTTGGCAGGAGGAACCGGCTCAAATGCCTCCGTCGCCAACCCAGATGGGGCAGCCCCCGAAGCTGTCCGAGTTTCACTTCCATCTAAACCCTGCCCTGACTCCAAAACCCTCAGACATTTGGGAGACGGGAGCAGGATGAACAACACCAACCTGGGAAGGACTCAGGAGTGTGGATGAGACCAACATCAAAGCGACTAACACCCCCCACCCTGATGCCCCTGTTATCTAACAGTAAATAGGTACCTGGGAGTTAGACAGCTGCTACGGGGTGCTTCCTGGGGGGTGTGTAACAAAAAGGAGGCCTAGTCGAGGACCGGGCCGCGGGGACACTAAGCCCCGAAATCATCTCGAGATAGCGTCCATAGGTCCAATGAGCCCCAATGGGGTTTTCCAGAGCCCTTAGGCTGACTACTAAGGAAAGCCCAGACAAGGTACTGCTAACTGGTTGGGCCCAAACTACCAAGAGAAGCTGCTAAAACTAAACCCCTGTGATGTGTGCAAGCACAGGAGCCTAGCGGAGGACCACCAGAAGGTGGAACAGACCAAAGTGGTTAGATCCCCACCAGGAAAATAAACAAAAAGAAAAAGAAAACTCAGCGAAAGCACGTCTCCAGGAGGAACAGAACCGGCCGCTGTATATAATAGGAGACAAGGTGCACAGTACTTTGCGCCCCTACCAGCAACGATACCACTTCCTACCCAAGGCCAAACAAAAGAATGAAAACCCCAGCTGACCCCAAGGGCAGGCAATTGGCGAGGCGCAAAAGATCCCTGCGGAAGCGGTTCCCAAATGCCCTGTGGAAGAGAACCCCAGAACGCAAGGGCAGTACTTGCAGGGTGCTTAGGGAAGGTGACCCTAAGCGCATGCAGCCCCAGTACTGATGAATGACTCCTGGCATGCCCACCGCACCACAGAAAAACACCACAAGGCACAAGACTGCACAGAATGAGAGGCCAGAGTCGACGACCGCCACAGTCAGACATCAGCCGAGAACTGAATGCTGGAGCAGCTGGCGCAGGGGGTCCGGGACTCCCCCTGGGGTGGTTCTTGTTATTGTTAGCTGTGCAGACGAGCAGCTTAGCAGTAGTAGTGACGTTTGCTTATTTTAGTACGGGAGTTCTGCCTCCTTGTTCAGCTTTTAGGTACCAATTTTTACCATTTGGGGCTTGTTTTGTTACGTATACCTTTCTGGGTGCTAGCCCTGGTCAATAGCAGACATGGAATGCTTCCAACACATGGGGGGTTTCTATAGGCCATTGCATCCCTAGCCTCTCTGAGGGGGTCAGGTTCTGGCTCGTGGTCCCCGGTAGACAAAGAACTCCAATCGACTGATGCGGCAGTCTAATACATACATATCAGCTCCGGGGAGCTGTAGGGTCTCCCCACAGAAAATTAGAAATTGCACGGAGAGCAGAGCCCATAGACATATTTACCCAACTTTTCTTGTTGTTTAAAAGGAAACTTTTTATATAACTTACCAACATGTACACTATGAAGAGAGTCATATCATCAACATTTCTCTTTTGTATGCTGTGATTTCGAACTGCCACATATACTAGAGGTCGTTCCTGTCTGTCTCGCTGATTCAAAATTTCACATATTTTTGTATCAAAAGTTTTCTTTACCCCTGGTGTGTTTCTAGTGATATTTGCTACATCACAATCTTGTCTCCAAGCATTTGTTGCCAGGATTCTCTGAAAATAAATTTTTCTCTGAAATATGTCAGTCTTTTATAAAGTAATTATCACAACATGCAATAGATTTTGAAAAAAAACCAGCGTTGAATGTAATGAAACGCCATTTTCTGGGTGAGCCCCGGAGGCTCCCTGGAGCTTATCGGGCTAATGTATGTTATGTTAGACCGGGACATTAGCTAAGGAGTTCAGACCTACCAGGGACCAGCGCCAGAACCTGGCCCCTTCAGAGAGGTTTCAGGGAGCAATGGCCCTGGAAAACCCCATATGGTTGGGGGTTTTCCTTATCTGCCATCGACCGGGGTTAGGCACCCAAAAAGGTAGGCGTAACAAAACAAACCCCACATGGTAAGAAACTACAACAAAAACCGAACAGAGAGGTAGAAAACTCCCTACAATCCCAAGGAAACAAGCAAACAAGCAAACATCACACTTTACTGCCGCGCCGATCGTCCGCGCAGCCCTCCCCACCCCGGGAGGGGGAGGGGGGAGCCCCGGACCTACCGCGCCGGCTGCCAAGCTCCAGTTCGGAAGCTAAGCTTCAACCAACGCGAAAAAATCGCCGACCGGTGGGAGGGAGGGTTTCCAGGGAGCCTCCGGGGCTCACCCAGAAAATGGCGTTTCATTACATTCAACGCTGGTTTTCTGTGGGGAGCCCCTACGGCTCCCTGGAGCTTCATACCCAAAGAGAAGGAAAAGAAAGGGCTAACCCGGGAGGCGGCCGCCACAAACTCTGCAACGCAAAGCCAAGACAACCGGTCGCAAACCTGCGACCCAAGGCAACAAGAACGCCCAAGAACAGACGCACATATGGATGGGCGGCCAAAAACCTGTGCGACCCACAAATCCCTGCGCCCGAAACGAGCCCGAGACGTCACCAACACAGCAGCAAATGCTGCAAACGTCTGAACAGCACGGGCGCAAAGACAGACCGCAGGAAGAAGGAAAACACTGCGGACGACGTGGGAGACCCGAGCCCTGAAAACAGGGAACGAAGGAGCCGGATCAACCACAGCGCATCCCCAGGCACGGTACGCCGGCAACAGCAAAAAGCACAACCGGACAACACAGGACGCCCCCCCCCGGCCAAACCAAACAAGTACCAATACCCCAAGAACCCCTCCGGAAAGCAGCCGTCTCGACCGTCGCCAGGACAGAGAAAGGCTGCACACCAATAAAGCTACCACCAGTACCAAAGAGGAGGAAACTGAAACTGAAGGGGCTACCACAAACTGAGGGGAAGATAAGAAGGCACCCTGAACAAGGACCAGGATGGCTCAGGCGACTCATGAGCAGGCAGGAGGGGAAACAAAACGCGAGAAAACGTAATAAACGTCATACTGTCTCCAAGACGAAGCTCGCAGGTGGGACACCGTCAACAAAGCCACCTGAACACCATAGAGATGGTGATACCTGAGTCAAAATACCAGACGCGAAGAGCCAAGGAGAAGGCCGAACCAGTCACGGACAGGACCGATTCGGCCTGCTGAAAGAGGCGAAGCCTCAGGAAAAACGCCCCGGGTACGGACACCTATCAAGCAGCGTCTGAAAAGAAGGCCGGGCCGGCCACCATGGAACCATAAGGACTGTTCTCGTGGGAATGGGCTGCAACCGAGCCAGAATCCGAAGCAACAGCTGGACCGGCAGAAGAGGTACAGGTACCCCCCACCTCGACCAGGCCAGCCGAAAGCCTCCACCGTGAAGTCCTCGCAGGTGGGAAGGGCGCCACAAAACGGGCGACGCCTAGACCACGCCGACCCGAAGACGTCCATGGCCAGGAGTCCATAAGCCCAACAGAGCCAACAAAACGAATCGGCGACGACTGGCCAACCCACGAAGAGGAATGAACCGAGACAGCTGTCCACCAGGACGCAGGACACACCCCGGACACGAACCACACGGTTAACCAAACCCCCTGTGGTTCCGGCAAGAACCACCAGAGAACAGTCCAAACAGAGCAGAATGGTAGAGTACCTAGTGACCCAAACCCTCCGAAGCGCAAACCAGACAGCCATGAACACCTGAACCGGGCTGTGAGCCCGACGGACAGACAGACTCCATCAACCTCGGCCGACCTGGTGAGCACTGGTCACAAAGCCCCAGCCGAGAGACGACCTGTCCGTGAACACATCGAGCGAAGGCTCGGGGAGGTGCCAAGGCACGGAACCCCGAAAACCCCAAAGAGGAAGCTGGTGATGCAGCACCAACACCAGATCCCCAGAGGAACCCAAGGAATGCAAGAGGCGGAAGGGGAGTCTCCGTAGGAACCAACCGACGCCGGAGCCAAACCCGACTCCGCGGGCAGACAAGCACGCCGAAGTGCAAACTCCCGCACAACCGCCCAAGCAACCGCTGAGCAACCCGGGACCCCCTCCTGAACAGCCAAAGGCGGGACCACAGCCGCAGTAACACTTCTGGAGGGAAGACAATGAGGGGCCCAAGAGCCTGAAACAAGGCCCAGGTCCGACCCCGGGACGGAAACAGAAGGTAAAACCTCCAGATCACCAGGAAACCAAACCCAGCGATCTGGAAAGAACCATCCCCTGGCGAGCAGACAAGCGGACTGACTGGGAGCCCACTCCAGCCAGTCGTCGAGGTAGGCCAGACACCGAATCTCAGACGCAGACAGGGCACTAAGATCCGGTAAAGATGCAAAGAGTATACAAAGTGCCCATTACAAAATAGGGAAGGCAATAAAAACAGCAAACCTGAAGCCCCACCACCAAAGCATTATATGACAATCATATTAAGACATATTATGACATATGACAATCATTATATGACAATATGACAATTATAATCAAAGCATTATATGACAAAGAGTGCTGGGAAGACGGGACACCATGAGAGTAGCTCTCATCCTGCAACTACACTTAGGTAAGTACACATAGGTAATTACCAACCGTGCTAGCCCCAGAAAAACTGGAGAGGAACGTGCCAAGAAGTGACCTGGAGGTCCAGGTCCACCATCCATGCACCCGGCCCTAACAGAATCCGAACAGGAGACAACAGTCCTCCGAGGAGGGCAGAGGATCCAGGGCGCAGACTGAAGTAGTCCAGAAGAACTGCAGACTGGAAAAGCTCATGACTGCAAAGAGCAGACGGGAAAAGCTCATGACTGCAAAGAGCAGACGGGAAGCCCAGAAGGATGGGGCGGATCGACCACGCCCCACGCACCCACGAAGAGGAAATGACGAAGCGCAGGGGAAGAAGCCCACCCCGCCAGCTCTGAACCCCCCCCCAAGGGGGAGAAGCCGTCCTCCGACGCCAGCAGAGGCCGGAAGACAACCCAAAGCGCCCACCAACAGCGGGACCAAGCGAGAGGCAACAGAGCAAGCTGCTCCCCCAGCGCCCAGTCAACAGAGAAGGGAACAGAACCCCTTCAGAAAGAAAAAGTACACTACCGAAGTCATGAGGAGAGACTACGGGAATGAAACCACACTTCGCTGGAAGATGAAGTGAGGGGAGACCTGATCACCACATTCAAGATACCCAAGGGAATCGACAGGGTTGATAAGGACAGGCTATGGAACACAAGGGGCACACGCACTAGGGGACACAGGTGGAAACTGAGTACCGAAAAGAGCCACAGATAGAATTAATTTTTTTTTTTTTTTTTTTTTTTTTTAGTCAGAATGGGAACGGGAAAGCACTAGGAAGTAACGTGGCGACACCTCACACAAGTAACGAGGCTGACCCCCATCCCATGTCACATGGAGACATGACAGAGCCCAAAAGGCACAGGAACCAATACACCAATACAAGAGGAAAAAGGTGACACCCCTAGGGTCAACACTTGCAGCAGAGGAGCTCCAGCATATTTCAACAATCCTAAGTATTGTAGTACAGGTTGATGGTAGTGAGTGGTGTCCCAGAGAACATAAAGGTATAGTGCTCTTGAAAAATAGGTGAGATAACAGGAAAGTGCTAAGGGAAGTGAAAAATCGGATGAGTAAAAGTTGCCCTAGTGTTTACAGTGCAGAGAAGAACATTCAAGATGGCCACTGGCAAGGGGAAAAACAAAACGGAGCTTGATTTTGAGGGATTCAATGAAGAAAGCATTGATATTAGTAGTCTACATAACAAGTTGGTAAATTTAGATACTATAGTGAACTCTCATGTAGAAATAATTAGTAAATTGAAAGAAAGTAATGACCATTTGAATAGCAAAGTTTTATGTCTTGAGGGTTTAGTGAAAAACTTGCGCAAGGATAAGAATCAATTGGAAACAAATTGCAAAGCCATGGAAGAAGAAAATAAACTCTTAAAAATAGCTTTGGAAGAAGTTAAAGTAAATTTAAACATAAATGACTACAATAGGTTAGGCAAGGAAATTCAACAGGAGAAACAGCTTTTGTCAGCACAGATGGAGGAAGTTACACAGGGAATAGAACAGTGCAAGAAAGATATGCAACTCACTTATGCACAAGTGGCCAAGGAGAAGGAAAAAATAGAAGAAGCAGTAAAGGAAGTCAAACACTGCAGCAACCAAGATAAAACAAACATTAGGCTAGAAGTGAGGAAAGAATTGGCATCTAACCCGAAGTTGGTGCAAAACACAGTTGATCGGAGTAAGTCCCTGATCATTTTTGGCTGCAAAGAAAAGGCGATAACATCTAGGTCAGAAAGAGCTGTAGAAGAAGCTAAAGTAGTAGATAAAATTGTTGGCCTCGTGGAAGGTCTTACAAACAGAGAGAATGTGTGCGACTACAGGAGAATAGGCAGGTACGTAAAAGGGAAAGATCGACCTTTGAGGATCACCCTAAACGGTGCCAAACAGATGGAAGAAGTACTAAGGAATGCTAGAAAATTGCAAAGGGATGAGGATGGGAAAGGGTGGTCATTAAGACGAGATCTTTCAAAAGAAGATAGAGAGAAGCTGAATCTGAACCTCGCCGAGGCAAAACATTTAAATGAGAGCAGGAATGAAGAAGAAATAAATTCTTTTTTCTACAAAGTGATAGGGGTAGGCAAACCAGTAAAGTGGTACATAAAGGCAA